CCTGTTTCTACCCCTTAGGATGTTTATTTAGCCCAGAAAGCAAGTTTTTTCTTTTTTTTTCAAAAATATATTTTATTGATTTTTTTACAGAGAGGAAGGGACAGGGATTAGAGAGTTAGAAACATGGATCAGCTGCTTCCTGCACACCTCCGGCTGGGGATGTGCCCGTAATCAAGGTACATGCCCTTGGCCGGAATCGAACCCGTGATCCTTCAGTCCGCAGGCCGGCGCTCTATGCCCTGAGCCAAACCGGTTAGGGCTGGAAGTTTTTCTTTAAAAAGAAATTGCCCACTTTTGCAACAATCTAGCTAGTATAGGTTTTTAAAGAGTTCTTATCTGTCGTGTTGTTTTCACATAATTTTAACTCTATACTGTGTTTACAACTACCACACATAGTGCTTTATTATCATATGTAAAGTGGGAGTTCTTCTGAAATTTCAAAAGCTACTGAAATTTAATGTAAGCAGAAAGAGATGCCGGGTAAATTGATAAACATACACATTTTGCCCAGACTTTTGGGGCAAGATTTTGGACTGATAGGGAAGTACTAGCAAACAAAGGGTTAAGATAGATTTTGGAGAAGAACTCACAGAACTTTCAATACTTGTAATTAATCATGTTAGGTTCTGAAAGTTTGTAAGTTAAATCCCAAGGGACTTGAGATTAGGCCTCAGGTTCAAGGCCTGAATGAGTGAGTATAAGAAGAGCTGACTTGGGGAGTGGCTAATAGATCCCATGGCTGCTATGGTGTTGGTAGGAACTTGCAGAGTTCCTCAATGATAAAAAACGGGCTCATCTGTCAACAGACTTTCTACCTGGATGAAATTTATGTAAATTGGAAAAGATGCCTACAAAACCACATAACAATGAGTGAGGAGAAGTAAGTCTCTAAGTTTAAAACAGCAATTTCAACTGGCATGCTGCAAGAAATTTTAAAACATGACATACCTAACTATTTAGCCAGGGGCACTGAGCTATATTCTCTTGACTATCAAATAAAAAAATGACAACACCCAAGCCACTCACCAAGTCAGCTCTTCTTATACTCACTCATTCAGGCCTTGAACCTGAGGCCCGTCCGTGGTTGCCACAAAAGTGTCAGTAGCACTTACCGTGATTATTTACGTTCTTATACAAACAGCTTGCCTTCTTCTGGACTAACTTAGGCTAATAGGTATTGAATTTATTTGTTACTTATTCAGCCACAATTAATAGTTTTTCCATTTGTTCACTGCTTTCCCTCATTTCTTATTGGTTACATTGGCACAGCACTTATCACATGTGTATATCTTGCTCTTTGACCTTCAGATACATTCTTACTATTGAACAATTTATCTGAAATTCATGTGTAACACTCAGCATTTTGTCTTCACTTGAAATTTTTTCTCTCCTCCATCATAATCTGTCAACACTCACTGCCTTTACACTCACCAGATGTGATGAGAAACATGTATGTACATCTCAGAAATGAGCCCAAATGTAGGAAGCATGGCCATTGGCAGTAAACGAGCATCAGTCATCCAAGTGACACTTTATCATTATCCAAATCCAGCTGTAATATTTAACATTTTTATTTAGGTTAATTTTTAAAAGCCTGTTCGGCAGCATTAATATTTTTGAAATTATGGGTTTGAATTGCTAGTTATAGTTACGGTTTTTCAAACAGTGGAAAAAGTAAAGCCATAAATAATAAAATGCGTTTATTATGTTTGCTCTTATTTTACCTAAAATCTTCTTCCAAGTTGTCTTTAGTATTTGTACTGTGCTTTGGAAAACACTGCCATAAGCTGATAAATAGGACATTATCATCAGCTGATTGCAGTTGAAGTTGGCGATCTTTATTGCAGAGCCTCACTTTAAAGTTTGTGAATAAAGATCCTTTTGTGTTTCTTTTCAGAAAAGCTCTCAAAGTACTTAACATAAGCTTATTTTTATTGATTTCAGAAAGAAAGGAGAGGGGGAGAGACAGGCACATCAATGATGTGAGAATAATTGATTGGCTGCCTTCTGCACTCCCCACACTGGAAATTGAACCCTAAAGCTAGGCCTGTGCCCTGACCAGGAATCGAACCCTGACCTTCTGCTCCATAAGTCGATGTTCAACCACTGAGCCTCATATGCAGGGCTAAAATAGACATTTTCAAAGTGGGGACATTGTAATTGATCTGGTGTTTAGTTATTTGTATTAATATGAAATGAGGATAATTTTCTAAAATTGATTTACTGAGAGAAATAATGTTATAAGCAAACTCTAGTTTTTGTTGTTGTTTTTTTCAATTACAGTTGACACAATATTATATTAGTTTCAGGTGTACAACATAGTGATTAGACATTTATATAACTTACGAAGTGATCACCCTTATATATCTAGTAACCATCTGACACCATACATAGTACAGTACTGTTGACTATATTCCCTATGCAGTACTTTACATCCCTATGACTATTTCGTAACTACCCATTTGTACTTAATTCCTTCACCTTTTTCACACCCCCGTCATCCCCCTCCAACCTGGCAACCATCAAAATATTCTCTGTATCTGTGAGTTTGTTTCTGTTTTGTTTGTTCCTTTATTGCACATAAAGGTGAAATTATATGGTACTTGTCTGTCTCTGTTGAATGGATTTCACTTAGCATAATACCCTCTAGGGTCCATCCATGTTGTTACAAATGGTAAGATTTCATTCTTTTTTATGGCTGAGTAATATTCCGTTGTATATAATATACTTATTCAGCCACAATTAATAGTTTTTTCCATTTGTTCACTGCTTTCCCTCATTTCTTATTGGTTACATTGGCACAACACTTATCACATGTGTATATCTTGCTCTTTGACCTTCAGATACATTCTTACTACTGAACAATTGATCTGAAATTCATGTGTGACATTCAGCATTTTGTCTTCACTTGAAATTTTTTCTCTCCTCCATCATAATCTGTCAACACTCACTGCCTTTACACTCACCAGATGTGATGAGAAACATGTATGTACATCTCAGAAATGAGCCCAAATGTAGGAAGCATGGCCATTGGCAGTAAACGAGCATCAGTCATCCAAGTGACACTTTATCATTATCCAAATCCAGCTGTAATATTTAACATTTTTATTTAGGTTAATTTTTAAAAGCCTGTTCGGCAGCATTAATATTTTTGAAATTATGGGTTTGAATTGCTAGTTATAGTTACGGTTTTTCAAACAGTGGAAAAAGTAAAGCCATAAATAATAAAATGCGTTTATTATGTTTGCTCTTATTTTACCTAAAATCTTCTTCCAAGTTGTCTTTAGTATTTGTACTGTGCTTTGGAAAACACTGCCATAAGCTGATAAATAGGACATTATCATCAGCTGATTGCAGTTGAAGTTGGCGATCTTTATTGCAGAGCCTCACTTTAAAGTTTGTGAATAAAGATCCTTTTGTGTTTCTTTTCAGAAAAGCTCTCAAAGTACTTAACATAAGCTTATTTTTATTGATTTCAGAAAGAAAGGAGAGGGGGAGAGACAGGCACATCAATGATGTGAGAATAGTTGATTGGCTGCCTTCTGCACTCCCCACACTGGAAATTGAACCCTAAAGCTAGGCCTGTGCCCTGACCAGGAATCGAACCCTGACCTTCTGCTCCATAAGTCGATGTTCAACCACTGAGCCTCATGTGCAGGGCTAAAATAGACATTTTCAAAGTGGGGACATTGTAATTGATCTGGTGTTTAGTTATTTGTATTAATATGAAATGAGGATAATTTTCTAAAATTGATTTACTGAGAGAAATAATGTTATAAGCAAACTCTAGTTTTTGTTGTTGTTTTTTTCAATTACAGTTGACACAATATTATATTAGTTTCAGGTGTACAACATAGTGATTAGACATTTATATAACTTACGAAGTGATCACCCTTATATATCTAGTAACCATCTGACACCATACATAGTACAGTACTGTTGACTATATTCCCTATGCAGTACTTTACATCCCTATGACTATTTCGTAACTACCCATTTGTACTTAATTCCTTCACCTTTTTCACACCCCCGTCATCCCCCTCCAACCTGGCAACCATCAAAATATTCTCTGTATCTGTGAGTTTGTTTCTGTTTTGTTTGTTCCTTTATTGCACATAAAGGTGAAATTATATGGTACTTGTCTGTCTCTGTTTGATGGATTTCACTTAGCATAATACTCTCTAGGGTCCATCCATGTTGTTGCAAATGGTAAGATTTCATTCTTTTTTATGGCTGAGTAATATTCCGTTGTATATAATATTCCATTGTATATATCTACCACTTCTTTATCCATTCATCTATTGATGACACTTAGGTTGCTTCCATATCATGGCTATTTTAAATAGTGCTGTAATGAACATACAGTGGGGCCTTGACTTACGAGTTTAATTCTTTCCGAGACCGAACTCGTTATGGAGCTCTTTAAGGAGCTCGTTAACTCAAATTACTCTGTCAACTCAAAGCAAAAAATCGGCTGAGAGACAGCTGGTCTCTCAAAAAACTCGTTAAGTCAGGACACTGGTAAGTCAAGGCCCCACTGTATGTCTTTTTGAATTAGTGTTTTGGATTTCTTCAAATAAATACCCCAAAATGGAATTGCTGAGTCCTTCTTTGTCTCTTGTTATAGCCTTTGTTTTAAAGGTAGGTGGGTGGGTGGGAAGAGATCAACCAAAGAACTTGTATGCATATATGCATAACCCATGGACACAGACAATAGGGAGGTGGGCTAGAAGGGGACAATGGAGGAAAAAAGGGGACATATGTAGTACTTTCAACAAGATTTAATTAAAATAAAGTCTATTTTGTTTGGTATAAGTATTGCAACCCCAGCTTTTTTTGTTTTCATTTTCTCGAAGTGTCTTTCCATCCCTTTACTTTTAGTCTGTAGCTTTCCATCTGAAATGAGTCTCTTATATGCCTGCCATTTCTTAAAACAAACTTTCAGAACTCTTCTGTTTATTTGGGTAATGATCCAATATTAATTTGTGTTTAAAATTTTCCTTTTAGGGGGTTACTATCGTTAAACCAATAGTTTATGGCAATGTTGCTCGATATTTTGGAAAGAAAAGAGAAGAGGATGGGCATACCCATCAATGGACAGTATATGTAAAACCATATAGAAATGAGGTAGGTACTGTTTTTTCCTATAGTTTGTTTTGCTTGAAAATAAATTTTAATATTATAGTGACTCTCTGATTATAAAATTGGTCCTTTTTAGAAAAGTTACCCACCCCAAAAGTTGAAAGAATAAAGTGAGAGCTGTCATTTTCATATGATTGTTCAGTAGAAATTTTCCAAAAATGTTTTCTAATTAAAATTAAATTACACTAACAAGAACTGTGCTATAAACACAGCACATCTTCCAATCACCATGTCTTAAGTTAGCTTAGTATTTAATCAGATGTTTCAAGAATAGTAGTTAATTTTTAAGTGATAATTTGGTTGGTTATCATCAGAGAAGATAAAAGACAAAACTGCTATATAATCTGGCTGCTGGTAATTTTGTTTTGTTGCTGAATCTCTAATGCCTGGAATGCAGCCAGTCCATAGTAGGTATTCAACAGATATTTATTAAGTGAATAAACTATTCCTCTATTTAAACCCTTCAAAATCCACACAAAAGAATGGAAACAACTCAAGTGTCTTGAATAAATAAAATACAGTATATCCATGCAATGGAATGTCATTAGGCAGTAAAAAAAAAAGTATTGGTACATGCTGCTACCACATGGAGAAATTGAGAAACATTACAGTAAGAGAAAGAGGCCAGACACAAAGGCCACATATTCTATGGTATCATTTTTATAAAATGTCAAGAATAGGCAAATCCTGACACAGAAAATAGATTAGTGGTTGCCAGTGGTGGGAGGAAGAGGGACTTAAGAATGAGTGCTAATGGTATGGGGTTTCTTTTTATATGATAAAAATATTCTAAAATTGAATATAGTGATGGTTGTACAACTCTGAATATACTAAAAAGCCACTGAATGCTATGTTTTAAGTGGGTGAATTATTTGGTGTGTGAATATCTCAATAAAGCTGTTATTAAAAAAAAACCCACCTTCAGTGACTACCTATTAGCCTCATAAAGGTAAAACTACCTTATTTTAGAGGCATGCTGTGGTCTTTCATTATCCTATCTCGGCAGCATTATACCTTGTCTGTATTTGCTTCTTCATTTCCTTATACCCTACATTCTACCAATACTAAATTACTTCTAGTTTCTCAAAGGAGCACTCTTAAACTCCTTCCTTCCTTCCTTCCTTCCTTCCTTCCTTCCTTCCTTCCTTCCTTCCCTCCCTCCCTCCCTCCCTCCCTATTTTTACTATTTCCTTAGTCTTAGTTCAAGTGTATTTTCTTTAGAACTACTTTCTTGACCTCCAAAAACTGTTATGTTAGGTGCCTCTCCTATGGTCTTATACCTCGTGCCCTCAGTGACACAGATTACACTGAAATACTGATTTTCTTGTCTGCCGCCTACTCCATAGACAGATCCTGAGGGCAAGACCCTATTACCATTTGGGCATCTAGTACCCAAAGTTAGTAGTCACTCATACTTGTAGAATAAAAACGAATGAAACTATTTCCAAAACAGACTTCAAAGATACTTAGGAAAATCTACCTCAGAAAAAAATGTTCATACAGATGATGTGCTGTAGAATTATGCACCTAAAACCTGTATAATTTTGTTAACCAGTGTCACTCCAATAAATTCAAAAAAAGTGGGGGGGGGGGGGGGAAATGTTCACAATATTATATTAAGTAATGAAAGCAGATATTAATATATCATTATAGTATGATTCCAATTTAAACATATTGGATGCAAGGTAATAAGCACACACAAAAATTCCTGAAAGAAAAAATATTAATAAACATTTCTATTGTTTGGCTTATTCTGTTTTGCATTTTTCTATAATGTGGTATGTTTGAAAAAGACACGTTAGCTAGGAGAATCCCTTTCATGTGTCAGAACTAAGGAATATGCTCTTGTGCTTCAAAATAAAATTAAGAAAAGGAGCAGTTTTATATCCAACAGTTTTAGCTGCTTAGTTGAGATGACCTTAGCTTTATATGATATAATTTTCTTCTTTGACGTTGCTTAGTTTTTAAATTTGCTTTGGATAATATGGTTATTATAAAAATATTGGAAGTGTACTATTGTTTTTATGGAAAAATTTTGATTTAGAGTATTGTCTATAGATAAATATAAAAAACTATTTGCAAAATAAGTGAATTGATATGTATATTCCTATATATTATGAATTATGAGAGAATTCACCGGTTTTCTTGTTTAAAATAAGAAAAACCAAATCTCCTAGGTATAATTCATGGTGGGTTTTTTTTTAGAAAATTGGATTCTATAATATTTGAGGGGAAATGTGTTTTATAAAATTAGGTACATATGCTTAGTGTATTTCCCTCCTAGTTTTTATATGTAGATGGCAGAACTAATTAATTCCTCTGTATTTCAGGATATGTCAGCATATGTGAAGAAAATTCAATTTAAGTTACATGAAAGCTATGGCAATCCTTTAAGAGGTAGAGTATAGTTTTTTCATTTATAATATACAAATTTAAAAAGAGCTAGGAAACTACATCAGTAATTTACAATTATAATTGTTTTATTTTTTTCTCTCTTCTTCAGTTGTTACTAAGCCTCCATATGAAATTACTGAAACAGGATGGGGTGAATTCGAAATAATCATCAAAATATTTTTTATTGATCCTAATGAGAGACCTGTGAGTAATGGTAATCTTTGTAAATTTAAAACAGATTTTTTTAGTAATTGTGAAAATGTAACAATACTTAATGAAGAGCATATTATGTGTTAACATTTTTATTCAGACTTACTTTATGTACTCTTATGGTATGGTATATTTTTTTTAAAATATGTTTTTATTGGTTTTAGAGAGAGAGGAAGGGAGAGGGAGAGAAAGAGAAATATTGATCGATTGCCTCCTGCCTACTGGGGATCAAGCCCGCAACCTGGGCATGTGCCATGACAGGGAATCAAACCAGCAACCTTTTGGTGCATGGGACAACACTTAAGCAGGGCTGGCATAGTGTATCTTGCCATGAGTTAAGATTTTTCATTTTTAAGTGATGTGCCTTCCAAGGCTTTTATTTTTCAATATAGAAAGAAGGAATACAATGTGAACATTTATTGGAAAGAAACCATGAAAATCATATGATTGCTACAGCAAAAATTTTACTTTTTAATTTACTGATTTTAGAGAGAGGAATGGGGAGAGAGAGAAAACAAACATCAATTTATTGTTCCACTTATTTATGCATTCATTGGTTACTTCTTGTATATATTCTGACCGGGGATCAAACCTGTCACCTTGGTGTATTGGGACAATGCTCCAACCAACTGAGCTACTCGTCCAGGGATACCACAGCAAAAATTTTAAATTCACTAATATCATTTGGTTACTAGTAATAAACAAGTTGAGTCCATATGCTATCTGAAATGGGAGTATCCAGTTTTTTATAGTTAAAAGCCTTAGAAATATAGTCTTGTTGCTTTTTCAAAGCAAAAAGTACTAGCAGCTTTACTTTATATCTTACTTGTGAATCCTTATTGATAACCACCAACTTTTTCATTTTATGGTCTCTTCTTATAAGATCATTGCTTGATAATGCAAAAAGTCCCTCAAACCTTTCACTGTGATCCCTCAGCAACTTTGTGAAGTTGGTGATATCTTCATTTTAGATAGGAGAATACTAAGGCTCAGAGGTCAAGTCACAGACTCAAAAATACAGTTAGTTGTGGCAAAGCTCGTTTTGAACCCAAGTATTAGATTTAGACCCCACACTCTTTCCGTTACTCTTTCTTTTGACAAACCACTAAGCCTCAGTTTTTTGATTGGTTGATTGCTTTTATAGAGAGGGAGGGAGGGAGACAGAAACATGGATTCGTTGTTCCACTTATTTATGCATTCATTGGTTGATTCTTGTATGTGTCTTGACTGAGGATCGAACCCACAACCTTGGCATAAGCCTGTTTTATTTTTAAACCTAGAAGGCCACAGCTCAGTTATGGCTCTCTCATTTCACATTTGTGTGGCTGGTGTTTAATTTGTTTCAGGGCTTGCTTTAATAGTTCTCACCACTAATTTTCATCTTGATAGATTTAAGCTCATTCCTTTGGCACCAAACATTTAGACTTTCATTATCAGATTAAAGTTTTAAAACTATATGTGGTTTTAAAGAAGTTGAGTATCACCCAGGCCAGGGCTCAGAGGATTGGTTCTTAACTAACTATATTAGAAGTACCCGAGGTGTTTTTTATAAGTTCAAACGAATAGGCCCAATCCCCTAGAGCAGTGGTTCTCAACCTTCCTAATGCCGAGACCCTTTAATACAGTTCCTCATGTTGTGGTGACCCCCAACCATAAAATTATTTTCATTGCTACTTCATAACTGTAATTTTGCTACTGTTATGAATCGTAATGTAAATATCTGATATGCAGGATGTATTTTCATTGTTACAAGTTGAACATAATTAAAGCATAGTGATTAATCACAAAAGCAATATGTAATTATATATGTGTTTTCCGATGGTCTTAGGTGACCCCTGTGAAAGGGTCATTCGACCCCCAAAGGGGTCGCGACCCACAGGTTGGCGACCCACAGGTTGAGAACCGCTGCCCTAGAGAGTCTGATTCAGTAGGTTTGGAGAGGGGCCAGCACCCCAGGTGATTTTGATACAAGGTAAGATTTAGAACCCATTGACAGAGGCCATACTCTTCCTAGGTAGGAATTTCTTCATGCTGTCTCTGAAATAATCTCCTTTGCGTTTTGCTAATTTCAGTATGGAGAATATTGACTTCTGTCATTAAGTGAAACATCCCGTTCAGGTTTGGGGTAGTTCTAGGATTTTTTTTATTGTTGTTTTTTTAAATATATTTTTATTGATTTCAGAGAGGAAGGAGGAGGGAGAGAGAGATAGAAACATCAGTGATGAGAGAGAATCATTCATTGGCTTCCTCCTGTTCACCTCCACTGGGAATGGAGCCTGCAACCCAGGCATGTACCCTGACTGGGAATCGAACCATGACCTCCTGGTTCATAGGTCAATGCTCAACCACTGAGCCATGCCTGCTGGGCATGGTGTGGGGTGGTTCTAGTTTTAAGAAAGCTCTACTTTGCCCTGACCGGTTTGGCTCAGTGGATAGAGCGTTGGCCTGTATACTGAAGGGTCCCAGGTTTGATTCCAGTCAAGGGCATGTACCTTGGTTGCGGGCATATCCCCAGTGGGAGGTGTGCAGGAGGCAGCTGATCAATGTTTCTCTCTCATTGATGTTTCTAACTCTCTATTCCTCTCCCTTCCTCTCTGTAAAAAATCAATAAAATATATTAAAAAAAAAAAAGAAAGCTCTACTTTATTATAAGCTTCCTTGAACTTTTTATTGATAATTATTCATACATTAGTTTTCTTTTTTCCTGTATAAACATCTGTGGCTCATTTAAATATTTTTCATGTGATACGGTTTCCAGGTCTGCCATTTTTGTTTTCTTTCTAGAGTACTCTCACAACTATTCTGTATGGCAAGAAATTATTAAATATTCATTATTTGCAAAATATTATTCAAATATCTTGATACAAAGATGAAGCACTGCTTTTGTTCTTAATCAAAATAGTCTTTTAAGCCCTGGCCAGTTTGGTTCAATGGATAGAGCAGTGATTCCCAAAGTGGGTGCTACCGCCCCCTGGTGGGTGCTGCAGCGATCCAGGGGGGCGGTGATGGCCACAGGTGCATTTGTTTTAACTTTTTTTGTATTACCTTTCTATTCTGAGTTCAATAAATAGTTTCATAATTTCAAACTTCAATGTTTCTAATTTACACCTTTCTTTACTATATTTTACGAAAAAGGTAGAAACATTAATACATATATCTTTCTGTTTAATTGCTATTAAAATGTAAAAAAAATTAATTTCCAGGGGGCGCTGAGTAATATTTTTTCTGGAAAGGGGGCGGTAGGCCAAATAAGTTTGGGAACCACTGGGATAGAGTGTCAGCCTGTGGACTGAAGGGTCCCGGGTTCGATTCCGGTCGAGGGCATATACCTCAGTTGCAGGTTCAGTCCTTGGCCCTGATTGGGGAGCATGTGGTAGACAACCAATTGATGTGTCTCTCTCACATTGATGTTTTTCTCTTTGTCTCTCCCTCTCCCTTCCACTTTCTCTAAAAATCAGTGGGAAAATATCCTCAGGTGAGAATTAAACAAATAAATAAGTAGTCTGTTAAAGAGACTGGAGCACAAAATTTAGCAGATATTGAGAGAGATAAGAAGTCAGTAATGTTACTAGAGCAGAAGCTCTTTTTAACTTTGTAAGATTGCTTTGAATTCATTTTAATTTTGAGAATGTGTGCCCTTACCTATCTCTTCATCTGTTGTCCCCTCCTATCCCAATTGGAAAATACATCTCTGAAAGAAATCTTTATATCATGTAATTTTAAAGTCCACTCTTGGAAAAGTAAAGTAATATGTTCTTTTGCACTTCTGCAGTGATTAATTTATTAAATAGGTTTCCATATAGATCTACATAGGCCTGAATTTAAATATATATATATTACTATTTAAAGAGAGAGGAAGGGAGAGAGAGAAAGAGAAACATTGATTGGCTGCCTCCCACATGCCCCCTACTAGGGATGGAGCCCAAAACCTGGGCACGTGCGCTGACCAAGAATTAAACCAGCAACCTTTTGGTGCCCAACCAGCTGAGCCACCCAGCCAGGGCTATGCCTGAATTTTAGTCCCCAAAAACTATTGTAATATTCTTTTAGTATAATGAAACCATTATACTTTTTCAGTAGTTGGTTCTTACAGAAAATGTCAAATGAGAGCTTATTTAAAATATAAAAGACGCTGGTAACTTGTGACTTACGTCTGTTATCCATTAACCTATTATAGGTCAAGCCATTGTAAAAGGAATGGTGTTTCTAAAAGCAAATGCTAAAATTGTTGCCCAGGCCGGTGTGGCTCAGTGGTAGAGCATCGGCCTGTGCTCCAAAGGGTCGAGGGGTCGATTCCTGGTCAAGGACATGTATCTGGGTTGCAAGGTTTGATCCCCAACCCTGGTCATGGCAGATGTAGGAGGCAACCAGTTGATGTGTCTCTTTCACATCAATGTTTCTCTCTCTCTCTCCTTCCCTCCTCCTCTCTTCCACCTTTCCACTCTCTCTCTAAAAACCAGTGGAGAAAATATCCTCGGGTAAAGATTAACAAAACAAAAGCTAAAATTTCTATGCCTAGAAATACATCTGTAGTAAGTACAGGTGTTTTCGTTGCTCTAAGAATCACCAAACACAGCTCAAAATTGGAGACATCTGTCTTGAAATTTTTCATTGCCTATATATTTTCATGAATGCCTCTGGTAGTCTAAATGATAAATTGAGGGGAGGACAGTTTTATATATTTTTTTAATTATAAAAGTCAAACATGCAGATTTTTTTTTAAAGTTTTTAAAAACAAAAAGTACAAGTCTTTTGTACTAGTTTCCTAGGGCTGCCATAACATAGTACCACAAACTGAGTGGCTAAACAACAGAAATTTATTCTCACAGCTCTGGAAGCTAGAAGTTCAAAATCCAGGTGTTGGCCCTGCTCTCTCCAGAGCCTTTAGGGGAGGATTCTTTCTTGTCACTTCCAGTTTCTGGTAGCCCCAGGATCCTTAGCTTGTGGCAGCATAACTTCATCTCTGTCTTCATTGTCACATGGCCTTTCTCTGTGTTTCTTCTTATGAGGACACTAGTCATATTGGATTTGGGCACATCCTACTGACTTTATCTTAATTTGATTATATCTGCAAAAACCTTACTTCCAGATAAGGTCACTTTCACAGGGCCTAAGGATTAGGACTTCATCATATCGTTTTGGGGGACACAGTTCAACCCATAACATCTTGTTTTCTCCCATATCTGGCCCCTTGCCCAGGAAAACCATAGTTATTCTTTTCTGTTTCTCTAGAAATTACTCTCATGCATCTCATATAGTTTGAATTTTTCTTTTAGATAGTGCCTGTCAACTACTAATGAGGACAGATGATCTTTTTCTTCATCTTTCCAGGTTTCTGCTTTTCATTTTGCTGGAGGAATTTCTTCAGAAAGGATGCCTGAGAAATAAACTTTCAGAGCCATTGCTATCTGAAAATTCTTTATTTTTACTTCATACTGTTTGGGTGAAAAATTCTAGGTTCCACAAGAAGATATGCATGTTCTCTTGTCTATGCGTGAAGGAAGATAATAGAAAGCTAACAGGCCCAGCCGCCCCCAGCATTCTTGATTTCTCCACCTGCCAACTCTGAGCTCTGAACCTCTCTGGGCTCCTCTGGGAGTGCCGGCTCCCACCTGTGTACAGTTCTCTTCCCTACGTTTCCAGGTTGTGATTTCCCTGTTATGGAATAGCCATCCATGTAGTCACATGCCCTTGTCTATTCCATACATTTCTCAAATTATCTGCTTGGAATATGGCTTGTGATTGATGCACGGTTACTTATAATGATTTTTGCTAAGTTTTGGGAAATTCTCTGAGGCCTCTGAATTGGTTTCTCCAACTTCAACATGAACTCTGATATTTTGCCAGCTGGGTTTTATTTTGCTAAAGTAATCACACATTGTTCTATAAAACTTTTCCTTTGATGTCTTACTACACTTGTTTTTTTTTAAGTATTTTGAAGACATGTTCATGCCAAAGTGAATTACCACTGACTTTGTTACTTACATAATAATCTTTTTTTTTAAATAATTTTCATTTCTTGAAGTATTACAAAGAGTATTACATATGTCTCCTTTTTTCCCCCCCTTGACATTCCCCCGGCCCCTAACCCCCAGTGTCTTGTGTCCATTGGTTATTCTTATATGCATGCATATAAGTCCTTCGGTTGATCTCTTAATTCCCCCCCCCAACCCTCCCCAGGCTTCCCACTATAGTATGACAGTCTGTTCAATGTTGCTCTGCCTCTGCATCTACCCCTGTTCATCAGTCTATACTGGTCCCCATTATCTGTCCCAACCTCACTGGAGCAGTCCCAACCTCTCCGGGGCCGTCTCGACCTCACCAGAGCTGTTTCAACCTCACCGGGGCCGTCCCGACCTCACCGGGGCCGTTTCAACCTCACCAGGGCCATTCTGACCTCATCCAGGCCATTTCAGCCTCACCGGGGCCATTCTGACCTCACCGGGGCCATCCCGACCTCACCAGGGCAGTCTCGACCTCACCAGGGCTGTCTTGATCTTTCCGGGGGCATCCCGACCTCACTAGGGCATTCCCAATCTCACCGGGGCTGTATCGTCCTCACCGGGGCCGTCCCGACCTCACCGGGGCGTCCCAGCCTCACTGGGGAAACACGAAGTTTGGCCCTCTGTCCCCTGCCGGGCGGCTCCCCACCAGACAAAATCTCCAGGCGTTCCTGGTGGCTGAACATCCAGCACTCCTGCTCGGACCACGCCCTCCACCAAGTGCACAGACTGCCTGTCTGCCGTCCCCCAGCGCCCCACTCGAGACTGGAACCGGTGGGCATGTTTGTGTGCTTGCTGGTACAGCGGTTCCACAACGCCGGCCCAGCCGGGCCCAGCCCCAGCCTGCCCCGAACCCGACTCCGCCCCCCGAGTGCGTCCCTCCCGGATGCGAGGAGCTGAAATCTGCAGCCTGCTGGGTTGGGCTCTGTACTTGGTGCCTCTGCACATCCTACTCAGTCTCAATGCTCTTCTTTCTATGCGAGGAGTTGAAATCTGCAGTTTGTTGGGTTGGGCTCTGTACTTGGTGTCTCTGCACATCCTACTCAGTCTCAGTGTTCTTCTTTTTTTCCTTCCAGTTGTAGAGCTTCCACTGGGCCAGCTTTCCCATGGTTCCGTATGATAGCTGTTTGTCCTATAGTTGGTAGTTTCAATGTTGTTGTGGGAGGCGGCACGCACAGGTCTCTTCCCTTACACCGCCATCTTGGTTCTCCTGGGTCTGCTTCTTGAGTGTGTCTCCCATGGGTGCGAGCAGTTGAAGTCTGCAATTTGTTGGGTTAGGCTGCAAAAGCGCAGGTGGGTCTTTTTGTGCACCTGGCACAGCTTGGATGGGGATGTAAATTGATTAGGGCTGGGTCTCAGGGAGTCGCCATGGTGGAGCAAATAGCACTGGCTGTGTCTCCGCTCCTCGCCTCTCCGGGACACCGGGGCTTCGCGTCCCCCAGTGCCGGCGAGCAGCTGTGCCACAGAGCCTCCCTCGCTTTCTGACGGCTGCAAGGCCATGCCACCTCTCCCTGTAGGGTCTGGGGCCTCATGATCCCGCCCGAACCAGCTCAGTGGATTTGAGAATTTGTAAAAGCGCAGGCATTTCCTCTTGTGCCTCTGGCACAGCCTGGATGGGAATGTAAATTGAATAGGGCGGGGTCTCCGCGGCCCCTCGCCTCTCCAGGACACCGGGACTTTGCGTCCCCCAGTGCCGGCCAGCAGCGCGAGTCAGAGCTTCCCTCGCTTTCCGCTTTCCGACCACTGCAAGGCCTTGCCGCCTCTCCCCATGGGGTCTGGGGCCTCAGAGACCTGCCCCGAGCAAGCCCAGAGGATTCGAGGGTTCGTAACCGCGTCCAATTGAAAAAAAAACGCACATCCAGTTGCAGCCCGCCTGGCGTGTGACTGCGTACCTCTGTTTTTGACGCCTCTGTAGCTCCTACTCAGTCTCACTGCGCTTCTTTCTTTTCTTCCAGTTGTAGATCTCCCACTGGGCCAACTTCCCCATGGTTCTGAATGGTGGTTGTTTGTCTTATAGTTGGTAGTTTCAATGATGTTGTGAGAGGGCAGCACGCACAGGTCTACTCCCTACGCCGCCATCTTGGTTCTCCTCCTTACGTAATAATCTTATAGGTCGCCAAAGAAATTATCTTACCCTCATAAGCATTTTAGTATTAGTTATTCCTTTTGAAAGTATCAAAATGTTTTTTGCCATAGCAAATTTGTAAACTTTAATCTTCACAGAACAACTGTCATAATCTAATTTCACTTGTGTTAGTAATTTTCCAGTTTAATTTCCAGAGCTGTATCTTATGTTATTTTTGTATACAGTCACTCTCTAGAAATGCTTTGTAACAGATCTTTACTTACCATCTTCAGAATGTTCATGTTTAGATGTGGATGATGGTAATACCTAATAGGAAAGTAAAAGTACAGAGAGTTTTGAGTGATTTGCCACAGTTGAGACAAGATCCTGAATTTGGTATGTTTACTAATTCCAGTCTCTAATCAGTTACAGAAATGACAGCATTTCACAATGATGAAGGTAACCATTGCACAGATGTGATGTCTGTTTTTATTTCACAGGTAACCCTGTATCATTTATTAAAGCTGTTCCAATCAGATACCAATGCAATGCTGGGGAAAAAGACAGTGGTTTCAGAGTTCTATGATGAAATGGTAAGATTTTATAACGAGAGTTTTAAAAGCATTTTAAATTGTAGAACTTTGAAGTTATTAGGGCTTTTCTCATTTTATCTCATTAGATATTTCAAGACCCAACAGCAATGATGCAACAATTATTAACAACATCTCGTCAGCTAACATTAGGAGCCTACAAGCATGAAACAGAATGTAAGTGCCATGAGTTTATAATTAATCCTGGAAAATAGTGAGTATGGAGGAAGAAAAACTAGGTGCCCATAATGCTCTAAAGCAGCGATTCTCAACCTGTGGGTTGTGACCCCTTTGGGGGTCGAACGACCCTTTCACAGGGGTCACCTAAGACCATCGGAAAACACATATATAATTACATATTGTTTTTGTGATTAATCACTATGCTTTAATTATGTTCAATTCGTAACAATGAAAATACATCCTGCATATCAGATATGTACATTACGATTCATAACAGTAGCAAAATTACAGTTATAAAGTAGCAATGAAAATAATTTTATGGTTGGGGGTCACCACAACATGAGAAACTGTGTTAAAGGGCCGCGGCATTAGGAAGGTTGAGAACCACTGGTCTAGAGGGTAGTGTTTTCAGGGGGAAATAAACCAGTATATTTATAGGCTGAAAGAAGTGATGGGACCCAATAAAAGAATGGGTTGGAGACGAGAATACAGGGGAGAAGGCAGTTTCTATTTAACCCTTGTTGGTTTCAATATTGTTTTGTTTGTATTTTTATGAAACTCATGACTAGAAGTTAAAAGATCTGAATATTGATTATAATTTTGCCACTTGGTAGTCATTTAAAATTTAAAATCATACTCATTTAAAAGTTTTATGCTTCACTTTCTGCATCTGCAAATGTATTTACCTGGCCTACTTCATTATGAACATAAAACATATGTATATGACCACTTTGACAAGGTAAAAAAGCACCTAATATGCTATTTTAATTTGTTATTGGTCATTTGTGCTCCATAGATCTTCTTTCTCCTATAGCATAAAATGTACCAAATTGATAGAGGAAAATTCTTTTAAAATTCAAGTGACCACATTTTTGTGTTTTCAACAAAACAAATAACTCATTTAAGTAGGTACAAGTAATTAATGTGTTTTATAAAAAAGCTTTTCTATAAAATATCTTTTATGTGTTAAAGCTTATCCATGGAGCTGTATATCCTTGGGAAGTTTTTACCAGTAAATTGCATGTTATGAATTATATTCACTTTATTTTCTTAATAACATCAAATCAGTAAGGAAAAAAAAGATAATTTCAAAAGTGGTACTGGCACAGTTGATAAGCTTTTGAGAAGAAAACTTAATTTAGATCATTGCTTCATAGCATTTATCAAGACAGATTCCAGTTTAATTAAAAATAGTTAAATGTTTTTTAAAGTCAGTCAACCTATTATTTAAAAAATTAGAGAAATGGCTGACCTGGCTGGGGAAGAGTTTTTAAAATTGAGATGTTAGAAGAAATTACATTAAAGGAAAGAAAAACCTGATTTTGTAAAAAATATTTAACTTCTACATTTCAAAAGAGCAAAGAAGAAAAATAATTTTGTAGAAATATGGCAAAAGATTAGTATCTTAAAAACCCTAAAATGGACAAATGAAATACAGGGTGTCCCCAAAAAAATGTATACACATTTTAAAAGCTGATAGCTCAGTTTTTTTAAATGAAATTTATTTTAATAAACACTGTTTTTATAATTATTCAAAGAACTAGAGGCCCGGTGCACGAACTTGTGCATCAGTGGGGTCCCTGGGCCTGGCCTGTGGGATTGGGCCTAAACCGCCTCTCCGACATCCCCCAGGGAGTCCCAGGTTGCGAGAGGGTACAGGCCAGGCCAAGGGTGCACAATCAGGGCTGGGGAGGGACATGGGAGGTTGGCCAGCTGGGGAGGGACCGTGAGAGGGCTCCAGAGCATGTTCTGCCTATCTTGCTCAGTCCCGATTGGCCGGACGCTAGCAGCAAGCTAACCTACTGGTTGGAGCGTCTGCCCCCTGGTGGTCAGTGCACATCATAGCAAGCGTGGCCTTAGCATATCATCAGCATATTATGCTTTGATTGGTTGAACGGCCAACTGGACTACCAGACACATAGCATATTAGACTTTTATTATATAGGATATGCATACATTTTTTTGGGACACTGTATAAAAATTTTAAACTTCAATTGATAAATGGACAAAAGACATGGACAGGCGAAAGAAGAGATCACTAGTAAATAAAATGGGAAAATATTTGTCCCTGCTAGTAATTTTTAAAATGCAAAAAACTTGGAGGGGGAACATCTGTAATACTTTCAACAATAAAGATAAATTTAAAAAAAAATAAAGTGAGCTCTGCTGGTATGGCTCAGTGGTTGAGCATCAACCTCTGAACCAGGAGGTCACAATTTGATTCTGGACAGGGACATGCCCGGGTTGTGGGCTCAGTCCCAGTAGCAGGTGTGCCGGAGGCAGCTGATCAGTGATTCTCTCTCATCAGTGAAATTTCTATCTCTCTCTCCCTCTCTCTTCATCTCTGAAATATATTTAATAAAAATATATTAAAAATAAAATGAAAAGATAAATTTTAAAAACTGTGAAGCAAACAATGGGTATCAAATCAGCAAAAGGAATCTTTAATAGTGAGGATGTGCCCTCAATGAATAGAGCGTCGGCCTGCGGAATCAAGGGTCCCAGGTTCGATTCTGGTCAAGGGCATGTACCTTGGTTGCAGGCACATCCCCAGTGGGGGATGTGCAGGAGGCAGCTGATCAATGTTTCTCTCTCATCGATGTTTCTAATTCTCTATCCCTCTCCCTTCCTCTCTGTAAGAAATCAATAAAATATATTTTAAAAAATAGGATGTGTTGAACTTTACATTCTCATAAATTGTTTGTGTGGGTATGAATTGCTTTAGCCTCTTAGGAAAACAATTTAGGAATGTTAATCAAAGACCTAAAAAGATATGTACACTCTTACCAATTTGAGGGCATTATACTCAATATTTGGTAAGAATAAGATAGCAGATTTATTGAGTGCTTACTATTTGTTTTTGTTTTTATGGTTTTATAAAAAATATATTTTTATTGATTTTAGAGAGGAAGTGGGAGGGAAAGAGAGCTAGAAACATCAATGATGAGAGAGAATAATTCATTGGCTGTCTCCTGCACACCCCCTACTGGGATCAGACCAGCAACCGGACATGTGCCCTTGACCGGAATTGAACCTGGGACCCTTCAGTCCGCATGCTGACACTCTATCTGCTGAGCCAAACTGGCTAGGGCAGAGTGTTAACTATTTGTACTCTTCTAAATCTGTACATGTATAAAATTTAATTCTACAATTATTTTATTAAGTACTCCATTTTGTAAAAGCAAACAGGTATAGTTAAGTTAAATTACTTGCCCATGAATACAGCAAATTATTGGTAGAGTCAGGACTACATCCCAAGCACTCCTCAGAACTTAGGCTCTAAAAACTTAGTAATATTTTTAGATAGAGTGATATTCAGGATAGACATTTCTCATTATGAAGCATATTAAAAGTTTATAAAGATACTTGTGCTAGTAGTAAACCCATGCAAATTTAAACACTAATGATACAGCTTTTAAAGTAATAGTTGCTTTTACAAGGAATAACTTAAATGAACATGCAATGAGAGCTTACTATGTACTAGACAAGCACTTAACATTTCATAACTTATTGGATACCATAATAACCATAAGAGGAGGGTACTACTTTTAGTCCCATTGTATAAGTAAAGACCCTAGAGCAGCGGTTCTCAACCTGTGGGTCCAGACCCTTTGGCGGTCGAACGACCCTTTCACAGGGGTCGCCTAAGACCATCCTGCATATCAGATATTTACATTACGATTCATAGCAGTAGCAACATTACAGTTATGAAGTAGCAACAAAAATAATTTTATGGTTGGGTCACAACATGAGGAACTGTATTTAAAGGGCCAGAAGGTTGAGAACCACTGCCCTAGAGCTACAGATCAGAGCCAGGATTTTAAACCCAGAGTCTGTACTCTTAACCAATAAGCTATCGATCTCTGTGTAAAAGCCTTATAATCTGTGCTTCAAACCAGTAAGTAAGATCGGCTCTGCACAAATAATTATTCTTCTTTGGATTAATTTGCTCCAGCTTGAGGCTTCATTTTGAAATTTAAAAATATAAGCATTTAGTATGTAGAAAGCAGAAAAGTGGAACAAAATAAAAGAAGTTTAAAAATGTTTTCCCCCATGATCTCATTGCTAATTAACCTAGGCCTTCTTCCAGACATATCCTGCCCTTTGCAATCTTATGATTTGTCAAGAATAAAGGGTAACTAAATCAGACCAACGGAATGTGTATCTACTCTGAATGCTGTCTTTCTGACAAATGAGTCAGGTCTTCCTGACTAGATTTAAGACTTACAATAATACAGGACTCCTTGTTGTTCCCCAAATGTACATGTGCTGTTTCTAGGGCAGGGGTGGGCAAACTTTTTGACTCGAGGGCCACAATGGGTTCTTAAACTGGACCGGAGGGCCGGAACAAAAGCATGGATGGAGTGTTTGTGTGAACTAATATAAATTCAAAGTAAACATCATTACATAAAAGGGTACGGTCTTTTTTTTTTTTTTTTTTTAGTTTTATTCATTTCAAACGGGCCGGATCCGGCCCGCGGGCCGTAGTTTGCCCATGGCTGTTCTAGGGCCTGCTATGTGTACTTCCTCTACCTACTTCCTTTCTCATTCTGTAGAACTTTGTTCAGTTTTTCCTACTTCCAAGATGCCTTCCTTCATAATCACATACCCCTTCCTTTTCCCTTAGTATAAATCCAGTCTGCTTTCATTTCTCCCTATGATTATCTTATGACATTGTACTGCATTTTTCTTTCTTGTCCATCTTCTACCTCTGTACCCCAGCATGTAACAGTGTTTTTTAATTGATATGGAGAGGGGAGCAAGGGAATAAAATATTTTGCATTGTAAACAAAGCACTGTAAACAAAGTGTGAAGACTTTGTTTCAAACCATGAAAAACTATTGTGTTCATATCACAAATGACTAATTTCTTTAATATATAAAGAGCTCCTACACCTCATAAGAAAGGCCAGTAACCAATAACCAAAAAGCTTCTGCACAGCAAAGGAAACCATCAACAAGATAAAAAGGCAACCTAGTGAATGGGAGAAAATATTTGCAAATCATGTATCTGATAAGAGGTTAATATCCAAAATATATAAATAACTCATACAACTCAAGAGTAAAAAAAGCAAACAATTTAATTTAAAAATGTGCAGAAGATCTGAATAGATATTTTTCCAAAGAAGATACAGATGGCCAACAGGTACCTGTAAAGGTGTTCAACGTCACTAATCGGGGAAATGCAAATCAAAACCACAATGAAATAATCACCTCCCAACTGTCAGTATTGCTATTATAAAAAATGCATCAACAGCAACAAAGAGAAAACAAACACAGAAAAAAAAAAAGGCATCAAACAGGTGTTGGCAAGGATGTGGAGAAAGGGAACTCTCATGCACTGCTGGAGGGATTGTAAATTGGTGCAGACATGGTGGAAAAACAGTATAGAGGGTTTTCAAAATCTTAAAAATAGAACCACTTATGATCCAATAATTCTACTCCTGGGTATTTATCCAAAGAAAATGAAAATACTAAATATACATATATATACACACATACATACAGATATACACACCACACACTCACACACACACTGCCATGTTTATTGAAGCATTATTTATGGTACTCAAGATATGGAAACTACCTTAAGTGTCCATTGATGGATGAATGGATAAAGAAGATATGGTATCTATATATACACAGTGAAATACTATTCAGCCATAAGAAATAAGGAAATTTTGCCATTTGTGACAACATGGATGGGACTTGAAGGAATTATGCTAAGTGAAATAAGTCAGACAGGGAGAGAAAAATACCGTATAAGCTCACTTATATGTGGAATTTAAAAAAAAAAAAAAAACAAGTTCAAAGATACAGAGAACAGATTGCTGGTTGCCAGGAGGTGAGGGGTGGGCAAAATGGATGAAGGGGGTCAAAAGGTACAAACTTTTTATAATTTTTAAAATTTTTATTTACTTATTTTTAGAGAGAGAGAGTAAGGGTGAGAGAAAAAGAAACATCAATTTGTTGTTCTACTTACTTATACATTCATTGGTTGATTATTGTATGTGCCCTGACTGGGGAATTGAACCTGCAACCTTGGCATATCAGGATGACGCTCCAACCAACCGAGCCACACTGACCAGGGCTAATTTTATTTTTTAATTACAGTTTACATTCAGTACTATTTTGCATTAGTTTCAAGTGCACAGCATAGTGGTTAGACAGTCATATACTTTATAAAGTATTCCCCTTGATGTTTCTAGTACACCCACCTGGCACCAAACATAATTATTACAATATTATTGACTATACTAGTATTGCCTATGCCCTGCTTTACATCTCCATGAGGTAAAACTTTTTAAAAAAATATGTTTTTATTGTTTTCAGAGAGGAAGGGAGAGAAACATCAATGATGAGAGAGAATCATTGATTGGCTGCCTCCTGCACGCAACCCAGGCATGTGCCTTTGACCGGAATTGAACCCCCCGGAACCGTTCAGTCTGCAGGCCAATGCTCTCTATCCAGTGAGCCAAACCAGCTAGGGCCAAAACTTTTTTTTAAAAACGGAGGTGAAAACAATTTAGAAATAAAAGCAGTGAAAGAAAGTACAGAGAAAAATATGGATTGTTTTGGCAATATAAATATCTGTATTACAAAATGTATCACAAAAAGAAAGTCACTAGCAATGAGCAAAATAAAACATTGCATGTTTTGAATGTGCTAAATGTCTCACATATACATACAGTCTTCTTCCCTTGGTATCCGCTGGGGATTGGTTCCAGGACACCCAGAGGATATGATAATCTGCTGATGCACAAGTCCCTTATATAAAACTAGAGGCCTGGTGCACGAATTTGTGCACTGGTGGGGTCTGGCTGGCCCACCCCGATCAGGGTGGGGGGCTGATCAGGGTTGGGGCTGGCCGAGGAGAGGGGCTGCAGGCAGTTGGTCAGCTGGCCCCGGCCCCTGGTTCAACTCCTGGTCCATCTCCTGGTCAAGGGGATAATTTGCATATTAGCCTTTTGTTATATAGGGTAGGATGGTGTATTTGCATATAACTTATGCATATTCTCCTATATACTTTAAGTCATCTCTAGATTATACTACCTAATACAATGTAAATGCTATGTAAATAGTTGTTGAACTGTATTGTTCAGGGAATAACAAGAAAAAAATAGTATGTGCATGTTCAGTACAGATGTGGTCATCTAGGCCTAACTGCATAGTACACATTAATAACAAGGTAACATTCTCCCCCGACCCCCACCCCCACCCCAGTATTTTAGGTCTACAGATGCAGAACCCATGGACACAAAGGGCCAGCTCTATTGATTAATCCTTATAAATCCTCTGAGAAATACAGAATTTTAACTGTATCATACAGAAAGATGAGACTGAAGGAGACCTAGAGATGTCAGCATTCAGCTAATAAGGGGCCAGGGGTATATTTGAACTCAAGTCTTTCAGATTTCAAAGGTTTTTGTGTATGTGGGGTTTTTTTATTGATTTCAGAGAGGAAGGGAGAGGGAGAAAGAGATAGAAACATCAGTGATGAGAGAATCATTGATAGGCTGCCTCCTCCTGCACATCCCACACTGGGGATCGAGCCCACAACCTGGGTGTGTGCCCTGGTTTATAGGTCGATGCTCAGCCACTGAGCCTCGCCAGCAGTGCTCAAAGGGTTTTTTGTTTTTGGTTTTTTTTCCTTCACCAAACCTTGCTTCTTCCAATTAGAGATCATTTTACGCTTTACTTAAAGCATAACTATGCTTTAAGTATCAGCAGCAATTACCTGAAATGTCCACAAGATGGAGATGTTGGGTGAAAGTAGACATTTCTCTTTGTAAAATAGAATGCTACACTAGTGGAATATTTAAATAGATGAATTCTATTTTGCTTAGTGATATTTTCTTTAGTAACTTGTTATATAGGCAGCTTGAATGTTATAAATATCATTTAATGTTTCTCTGTCATAATAGTAGTTAATATGACTTTCTATGTACCGGATAGTATTCTAGATACTTTATATACATGAATTCACTTAAAATCTCCTCAAAAAAGAATATGGAGGTGTTTTTTAAATTATAATATCCATTTTAGAAATGATGAAATGAGCATAGAGATAATAAATTATTCAGAGTAGTACAGCTAATAAATGGTAGAACTAGAATTCAAACCTAGACAGTTACTGCTCTCTTTTTGGTTTATGTCAGTTTTACCTGTACATAAATGTAAGAACACTATGTATTTAGTGTTCTTATTAGCTGGATGTCTTTGGATTGTATGCCCCCTTATTTCCAGATTAACATGTTTATGGAGAAAAACAAGGATATTATGTTATAAAATTCTAACTATAAATTGAAATATTAGTGGCTATAATTTTACTATTAAAGAAAACATCTAAGATCCTCTCTTGGTAGTTCAGATTTTCTTACCCACCCTCTTATGTTTAATGTTATATCTCTTAAGTTGCCCATATTTCATCATGGGAACATTGACTTCAGGAAATGCCTTATATATTACTCTATGACATATTTTAGACGTGTAAGAAAAATGAAATAGTTCATTAAAAGTGTATGTTTTTCTTAGTTGCAGAACTTGAAGTGAAAACCAGAGAAAAATTAGAAGCTGCGAAGAAAAAAACAAGTTTTGAAATTGCAGAGCTTAAGGAGAGATTAAAAGCAAGTCGTGAAACTATAAATTGTTTAAAAAATGAAATCAGGAAACTCGAAGAAGATGATCAAACAAAAGAGATGTAAACAGTTCTGAAGAGAACTTGGTAGGAAACTAAACTGAAAATAAGGTAGACTTTGAAGGGGAAATGGATTGCAAATGCTTCTTAGAGAGCTGCATATATAGTTGTTGACCATCGGTTCCTCAGCAATGGGGTCAAAGTGTTTGTACTTTTCAAGCAATATTTAATGTGAAACATATGTATATAATAGATATGAATTCTGTATAGGCATTTTAACCCATTTTAGGGTAAATTCTATGCTGTTAAGCACAATTAAAAACTTTTTTTATTACATTGTATAGCTTATCCTTTAGACAGGCATAAAAATTCATTATAGCCCTAACCGGTTTGGCTCAGTGGATAGAGCGTGGGCCTGCGGACTGAAAGGTCCCAGGTTCGATTCCGGTCAAGGGCATGTACGTTGGTTGTGGGCACATCCCCAGTAGGAGGTGTGCAGGAGGCAGCTGATCGATGTTTCTCTCTCATCGATGTTTCTTACTCTCTATCCCTCTCCCTTCCTCTCTGTAAAAAACCAATAAAATATATTTTTAAAAAATCATTATAAAATGTAATTTATACACAGTTCGTACTTCCCTGGTAGTTAGAATTAGTGGTAAAATTAATGTGTATATTTAATTTCTTAAGTTCTTAACTGCCTTCATCCTGATTCCTTTTAGTATTACAAGTTTATTTAAGTCATAAAAAGGATTCTTGAGGCAGGAATCACCAACTACTCTTGGAGTAGAATTCCTTCTGGGTACAGAACTATTACTGACATTTCCAACACAGTGTTTCTAGGCTGGCCTCGTATGAGGAGTGCTGCGTGAAGGCTGTGCTGGTGCTTCTGCAGGAGGAGTTCGGTGCTGACCTCTGCTCCCCTCTCGTTCGTCTCGTGTAGTTCATTTGCCGATGACTTTCTACATCCTGTTTCTTCTCGGTAGAGTTGCCTATATTTTCCCCATTTACAGTCTTAAGAAGTTTTCATGTTGGAGAGTTCAGATTCAACATCTTTAATTCTGAGTTCAAACTGGCTTCTTATTGAAGCACTATTATTTTCTCTTAACTGCTCTAGATTTTCTTGAGCAATTTACAGACATGCTTGTGTCTGTAAAAATAGATTGACTTGTTCTAATTTTTCTGCTACATCCTGTCTTGTTCTTTCTTAAATCTTCTGTTTATACTGTTTTACTTTACAGTATTCTACCATATTAATTTCCATGTTTTCTGAGGTTTACGGCTGCTTGTTTCCACTTCTCTTTTATATTCCTTCGTTTTTCACATTTCTTTTGAAGTGTATTTTTTTCATCCAGATGTATAGATTTTGAAGATGCAGGTTGCACTTTTGCTATAAGATCATCATTCTGGTAATCTCTTTTTCTAATTCACCATTTTTCTTCATTTCTTGATGCAAGCTATATTGCAGAAATAGGTTTAACTCCATATATTTCTTTAACTGTTCCTTTTCATGCTGAGAACGGTCCCGCTTCCTCCGAGCTCCAGCACTGGGCGGCGGCATTGGGTGAACCAGGGACATACAGGGAGGAACTGGACTGTCTGACATCAGGGCAGGAATTCAGGGGTGGCTTTCTCCCAGATGGAGGTGCTCCTAGGGGTCATTGTTCCTGTTCATCCTGACTCTTTTGTATTTGATGTACCAGTATCCAGTAAGTACTCAATAAATGTAGTTTACTGACCCGTTTCCTGCCTTGTAATGTTTCTCCCTTTCTCTGATGACTGGAGCTCTCTCATTACAATTAATGTCTTCATAGTATTGTGATCACACATCTTTTATTGGCATCCATTGTAGTAACAGAAGCTCTTTGATGGCAAAGATCACATCTTAAGTATTGTTCTGCCTAACTACCCTGTAGTGTCACTAGTTTTCACAGGGAACAATTTAATCTCTCATCCTGTCCCAAAGACGCACAGGAAGCACCGGTGCATCACCGTCACATTTACCCCTAATTTCTCTACCTCTTCCTCAGCCTCTTCTGTTCACATCCACATGGTGAGCCCTCTACTTTTGGACTCACCTACTGTGATTTGAGCATTTAGTAGTACTTAATGTTTAAGACCATGTTGGCTGAACTATCTTCGCAACCGAGGGACAACAATAGATAGGAAAGTATTTTGGAAAATGTAAGTAACACCCTTGCCAGGTAGCTTAGTTGCTTAGAGCATCATCCTGATACATCAAGGTTGCAGGTTTGATCTCCAGTCAGGGCACATACAAGAAGCAGCCAATGAATGCATAAATAAGTAGAACAACAAAATCGATGTTTCTGCCTGGCCAGCGTGGCTCCATGGTTGAGCATCGACCTATGAACCAGGAGTCATGGTTCAATTCCTGGTTAGGGAACATGCCCGGGTTGTGGGCTTGATCCCCAGTTAGGGGGCCTGCAGGAGTCAGCCAGTCAATGATTCTCTCTCATCATTGATGTTTCTATCCCTCCCTCTCCCTTCCTCTCTGAAATCAATAAAAATATATTTAAAATAAGTTAGCAAGGATGTGGAGAAATTAGAACCCTCATGTTGCTGGTGCGAATGTAAAATGGGTATAGCTACTTGGAAAAATAGTTTGGCAGTTCCTCAAAAAGCTAATCTTAGTTATCCTAATGACCCAGCAATTCTACTTCTAGGTGTACACCCAAGAGAAATGAAAACATGCTTATACAAGAACTTGTACATGATTGTAGCAGACTTATGCATAATAGCCAAAAAGGATACAACCCAAATATCCATCAGCGATGAAGGAAGTAAAATGGGGCATAGCCATACAGTGGAATGTTATTCAACCTGAAGGAAATAAGTACTAATTTTGCTACAACAGAATGAATCTTGAAAACAAATATAAATGAATAAAGCCAGACACAAAAGCCACATACTATATAATTTCATTTATATGAAATGTCCAGAATAAGCAAATTCTTAAAAATAGAAACTTGATTACTTGTTGCCAGGGGAAGGGGGAAAGGGGATTTCCATTTGGGGTGGTGAAATGTTCTAGAGTTAGTAGTGATGATTGCACAATCTTGTGAATATACTAAAAACACTGAATTGTACATTTAAACATGGTTTTAATACTATGTAAATTTATCTCAACATTTGTAAAACATGACAAGTTTTGTTTAGAATTTTAAAGCAAACATTAAAAATACAAGGTTTTGATTTTCTCCATTCTTGTGCAAGTGGAAGAGAATATGTGTTTACCAAGGATTAATTACTTTTGAGATAACGACTAAGAACAAGTAAAGTCAGCTAATTAGGTAGCTCACTTCTTTAAAGAAGAGCAAAGTGTAAGTCTCATTTTTCTAAACAGTGTGGTAGGTAGGTAGGGCTGCTATCCATATTTTGCATGTAAGAGATAGGAGATTAAGGGGTTAGTCATCTAGCAATGTGACTCAGACCAGTAATTTACAGCCTTTCTGCCTCAATAACACTTAATTCTTCTCATGTTCAAAGCATTAGCTCATGCCTAAATACTTCGCAAATTTCTTTCCCTGGAGTAATTTAAGACTGTGTCAAATTTGAACATCAGGTGGCATAAATACAAAACATTGGGATAAGAAGCTTGCTAGCCATTAGTAACATGTAAGAAGATTCTGGTGTTAAGTTCTGGTGGGTGGAATATTAAAGAATAGATATTTGAAATCTCTTGTACAAGACATTCCTTAGCATATCCCACTAATATCTCCAGTTGGTTTTTAAAAAAATAGTAATAGACTTTAAACTCTTGAGACTGAAACCAAGGAAAATGAGGAGTAAAAACAGGAGTAAATACTGTTTTTAGAATTGCAAAGAATTTTTAAAGTACAGTGAGAAACCCAGAAATCATAAAGTTCTAAGTTCCAAATTGAATGAGTTTAGGAATCTCCTGAGATTTGCTTTAAAGTACAGTCATGTGTCACAGGGATACCTTCTGAGAAATGCACCATGAAGGGGTTTTGATATACAAACATCAGTGTGCACTTACACAAACCTAGATGGTATCGTCTGCTACATACCTGGGCCCTGTGGTATAGCCTTTTGCTCCTACGCTACACAAGCTTGCACAGCGTGTTACTGTGCTAGATACTATAGGCAAGTGTAACACAATGGTAAGTATTTGTATATCTGCACTCAGAAAAGGTACACAAAATGTCTGAGGCTGATGCCCACACATAACACAGCACAGTTTTACAGCAAACCTTTTTTTAAGTAGAAAGAGTACACTCTAAAATGACAATGAGGACCGGCCGCTGTGGCTCAGTGGTTGAGCGTTGACCCATGAACCAGAAGGGCACATGCCCAGGTTTCGGTCTCCATCCCAGTAGGGGGCATGCAGGAGGCAGTGGAGCAATGGTTCTCTCTCATCATTGATGTTTCTCTCTCCCGCTCCCTTCCTCTCTCTGAAATCAATTAAATAAACAAAATGACAAGACGTGTAACATAGTAAATATATAAACTAGTAACAGCCGTTTATTATCAATATCGTGTGCTGTGCATAACTATGTGCTACACTTTTATACAACTGGCAGTGCAGTAGGTTTGTTCACATCAGCATCACCACAGACATTTTACAGCAGCTGTGTTGTCATTAGGAGACGGGAATTTTTCAGCTCCCTTATATTCGTATGGGACCATTGTGATATATGTGGTTCATCAGTGGATTGAAACATTATTCAAAGCATGACTATAGATATGTAATTACTCATGGTGAGAGCAAAACTCAGCCCTGGCTGGTGTGGCTCAGGTGGCTGAGCATTGTTCCATTCCCCCTCAGGGCACATGCCCGGGGTTGTGGGCTTGATCCCTAGTAGGGGGCGTGCAGGAGGCAGCTGGTAGATGTTTATCATGGTTGTTTCTCTCTATAACTTTCCCTCCTTCTCTCTCTGAAATCAATAGAAGCATATTTCTTTTAAAAAGAACAAGTCCTGATTTTGCCTCTTGTTTTCTTGCATGCCTCAGATCAATTTAATGAAAGTGGTGAGCAACTGGCTGCTGGCGGCCATCACCCATGTCACCCTAATCAGAGTCATAGAAAGCTATCCCTTTTCATAGGCAGGGGGGTTGGAACACTGTCTCATCCATGGTCTTCTAGGTCAGTAGGAACAGCACGCTATTTGCCCCATTTTACAGGCTAGTAAACTGACTCTCAGCCACTAGTGATTGGGATCAGGCAAAACTCTCTTTGACCCTTACAACCTCGGGTGATGGGTATCAGCATGAGGATGGCCCACCAGAATCCAAGCAGCAGGTGGCTGTGGCGGATGGAGACAGGGCTACCCAGCAATGCCCTAAAGGATCAACCCTCATTCAACAATCAGTCCGTGACACTCCTACCACTATCAGAGCCAAGCGGGTGGAATCCTCATTCTCTGCCTCCGCCAACTTTTCCACACGAAGGCTGCTCTCGAAATTCATTCTAGGGATCCTTGAGTGCCGGAAGCCGGTCCATCCTTGCTGCTTGACACAGTCGCTGCAGGGAAGAAACATCTGCACAGCATATGTCTCAAGGGACCTGGCGTATATGGCATACTGTTCTCAATATGTTTGCTCCCCTTATTGGCGCTATGTGTTTTAACCAAGGTCACCTCTCCGAGAAAGGTTGTTTCCCCAGGTAGGGATTTTTCCCTGAAGTTAGGGAGGGAATAAAACCCCTTAACTAAATGCCAGGCAGGGAAAAAGGGAGGAAACCAAGATGGCGGCATAGGTAAACACCGGAGATTGCTGCCGCAAACAACCACTTCAAAAATACAACTAAAAGACGGAACGGACATCACCCAGAACCACAGGAAGGCTGGCTGAGGAGAGACTCTTCAACTAGAAGGAAAAATAACAGCACACCGAGGCTCAGAGGAGGCGCAGTGTGGAAAAAACTCAGGTGCGGAGGTGCGCGCGCAAAGCGGGCTGGTGGCTGAGAGCGCGGTTGTCGTTTTCGGTCAGGGGGGAGTCTCAGACTCTGAGCTCCAGATACGGGCGAATCGCTGGGGACTCGGACCCAAACGGGAGAAGCGGGAGTGTCTGGCATCAGTTGGAAGGCAGCTTTCCCTCCGAGGTTTGCAGCGGTTCCGGGGGTTCTGAGAAGCAGAGCCTCTGGGAACAGGACTGAGGGCACCATAACGGCTCCCTCCGCCCGCCCTGTTGAGCCCGCCCCGCCCAAGCCCTGCGCAGAGCCATTTGCCGGATAGCCTCAGGCAAAGGCTAGATTAGCACCTCCCCAGAGGACAGAAGTTTTCCGCGGCAGACACAGCTGATTCACACAGCCAGTCGGCCTGGTGGTCAAATCCCTCTAGTATTAACTACAACAATCAAGGCTCAACTAGAACAAGACTGCGCACAAAGACCACTAGGGGGTGCACCAAGAAAGCATAAAAAATGCGGAGACAAAAAAACATGACAGAAATGGAGGATATAGAGCTAAAAATCGCAATTTTGAGGGCTTGCAAAAATGTGCTAGAAGCTGTCAATAAACTTGAGGAGAGAGTCACGAAAACTAATGAGACCCTCGATGCTATGATAAAGAACCAACTAGAAATTAAGCATACACGGACTGAAATAAAGAATATTATACAGACACCCAATAGCAGACCAGAGGAGCGCAAGAATCAAGCCAAAGATTTGAAATGCGAAGAAGCAAAAAACACCCAACCGGAAAAGCAAAATGAAAAAAGAATCCGAAAATACGAAGATAGTGTAAGGAGCCTCTGGGACAGCTTCAAGCGTACAAACATCAGAATAATTGGGGTGCCAGAAGATGAGAGACAGCAAGATATTGAAAACCTATTTGAAGAAATAATGGCAGAAAACTTCCCCCACCTGGTGAAAGAAATGGACTTACAGGTCCAAGAAGCGCAGAGAACCCCAAACAAAAGGAATCCAAAGAGGACCACACCAAGACACATCATAATTAAAATGCCAAGAGCAAAAGACAAAGAGAGAATCTTAAAAGCAGCAAGAGAAAGAGACTCAATTACCTACAAGGGAATACCCATACGACTGTCAGCTGATTTCTCAACAGAAACTTGGCAGGCCAGAAGGGAATGGCAAGAAATATTCAAAGTGATGAATACCAAGAACCTACAACCAAGATTACTTTATCCAGCAAAGCTATCATTCAGAATTGAAGGTCAGATAAAGAGCTTCACAGATAAGGAAAAGCTAAAGGAGTTCATCACCACTAAACCAGTATTATACGAAATGCTGAAAGGTATCCTTTAAGAAGAGGAAGAAGAAAAAGGTAAAGATACAAATTGTGAACAACAAACATGCATCTATCAACAAGTGAATCTAAGAACCAAGTGAATAAATAATCTGATGTACAGAATGAACTGGTGATTATAATGAATCAGGGACATAGAAAGGGAATGGACTGACTATTCTTGGGGGGGAAAGGGAAATGGGAGATGCAGGAAGAGACTGGACAAAAATCGTGCACCTATTATGGGGGGGAAAAAAAAGAGGAACAAATGTAATCTGAACAATAAAGATTTAATAAAAAAAAAAAAGAAAGATAAAAAATAAATAAAAATAAATGCCAGGCAGGTAGTTAATCACTTTACGAACAATCACCCTTAAGCTACATAATCTTTACTCCCAATGGAGATATAAAAAAAAAAAAGAAAGAAAATAAATAAATAAAAATAAATGCCAGGCAGGTAGTTAATCACTTTACGAACAATCACCCTTAAGCTACATAATCTTTACTCCCTGGAATGGAGATAAGAAACGCCCTAACCTTTGGAATAGAAATTGACAGGATTAAAATCAACTGGTATAAATACAGATGTAACAAGACAATAAAAGACAGAACTTGGCTGGAGATCCTGACTAGAGATCCTGGCTAGGCTGCTGATCAACTGAACGCTGTCTCCGTGTCATTCCTTCTTCACCGACTCTGTCCACACCTTTGGGAAGCCCTGGACCTGCTGGGGTTGGACCCCAGCAGTCGAGGGGCGGGAAGAAACCCTGGACAGTGGCTTGGATAAGCGGATGCCCACAGAAAAAGCAGGTTTGAAAACGGGTTTGATATCTCGTTGCTGCAATTGGTGATGAATCCAGTCCCAGGGACGACAGAGACGTCCCCCCATCTACCCCCCACGTCTCTCACCCCCGGATCTCAAACCAGCGCGGTCGGTGTAATCCTGTAATCCGTCCAGCCTCAGAGCCTGCCTCGAACAGCAGTAACGGGAAGTGCGCACGCGCACTGCTGGCGGCGCCGGTCCTTTGTTACTTAGGAAACAGCCAATCAGCGTCGCAGGCGTTGACCAATGGGAAGCGCGGATGAACCGACCCGGCTGATTTAAAAGCGAGGCGCGGTCGGTGGTTTTCTTAAAGGAAGGGGAGCTTGTGCGGCGCACTGTTTGCGGCCGAGGGACCCGGTAGCGAGCGGCAACACCGGTGGCGGCAGGGAACCGAGGAAAGGTGTTGCCATGGCGATGGCAGTGGAGGACAGCGCGGTGCAGGTTGTGGTTCGGGTCCGACCCCCCACGCCACGGGAGCTAGAGAGCCAGCGGAGGCCTGTGATTCGGGTGGTGGATGAGCGGGTGCTGGTGTTTGACCCTGAGGAGCCCGATGGGGGCTTCCTTGGCCTGAAATGGGGCAGCGTCCATGACGGCCCCAAGAAGAAGGGCAAAGACCTGACCTTCGTCTTTGACCGGGTCTTCGGCGAGGCGGCCACCCAGCAGGATGTCTTCCAGCACACCACCCACAGCATCCTGGACAGCTTCCTCCAGGGCTACAACTGCTCCGTGTTTGCCTATGGAGCCACAGGGGCCGGGAAGACACACACCATGCTGGGAAGAGAGGGGGACCCCGGCATCATGTACCTGACCACCATGGAACTGTACAGGCGGCTGGAGGCCCGCCAGGAGGAGAAGCGATTCGAGGTGCTCATCAGCTACCAGGAGGTGTACAATGAGCAGATCCACGACCTTCTGGAGCCCAAGGGACCCCTTGCCATCCGTGAGGATCCCGACAAGGGGGTGGTGGTACAAGGACTTTCCTTCCACCAGCCAACCTCAGCTGGGCAGCTGCTGGAGATGCTGACCAGGGGGAACCGTAACCGCACACAGCACCCCACTGACGCCAACGCTACTTCCTCTCGCTCCCATGCCATCTTCCAGATCTTCGTGAAGCAGCAGGACCGTGTTCAAGGTCTGACCCAGGCCCTTCAGGTGGCCAAGATGAGCCTGATTGACCTGGCTGGCTCCGAGCGGGTGTCCAACACCCACGCGAAGGGGGAGCGGCTGCGGGAAGGTGCCAACATCAACCGCTCCCTGCTGGCCCTCATCAATGTCCTCAATGCCCTGGCCGATGCAAAGAGTCGAAAGTCTCATGTGCCCTACCGGGACAGCAAGCTGACCCGCCTGCTCAAGGACTCCATTGGAGGCAACTGCCGCACAGTGATGATTGCTGCCATCAGCCCATCTAGCCTGACGTATGAGGACACGTACAACACCCTCAAGTACGCCGACCGGGCCAAGGAGATCAAACTTTCGCTGAAAAGCAATGTGGTCAGCCTGGACTGTCACATCAGCCAGTACGCCACTATCTGCCAGCAGCTCCAGGCTGAGGTGGCCAGTCTGAGGGAGAAGCTTCGAATGTATGAGGCAGGAGCCCAGGCCCCACAACAGGACCTCCCACAGCCCCCCAAATCAGGCACTCCACAACCACCCCTTTCCAGCTCCTCCCCACCATCTCATCTTCCCAGCCAGCCTGGCACCCCAGAGCTCCACCCAGGATCTGCAGTCCTTCAAGAGGAAAGCCTGGGGGCAAAGGTCCGGGTGGAGAGGGTCAGGGAAGGGAATTCTTCAGACCAGGAGCAGCCCTCGGAGAACAAAGACAAAGACCCGGCCAAGGAGGTCCTGATCCGGGTGTCAGAACAGAGCCTCCGACAGTCATGGCTGGAGTCCCCTGGCCTGACCCTGGAGGCCAAGCAAGTTGTGGGCCACCTCTCACCACAGAACCTGGAAAGGGACCGTTCTAAGCAGTTGGCACTGAAGGTGCTGTGCCTGGCCCAGCGGCAGCACTCCCTGCTCCAAGCAGCCAACCTCCTGACCCCTGACATGATCGCAGAGTTTGAGACCCTGCAGCAGCTGGTGCGAGAGGAAAAACCTGGGCCTGGAACAGAGGCCTCCAGGACTCCTGGCCCAGCCAGGGAGGCACCTCTGGCTCAGGAGCTGTGTTCAGAGCCAAAACCTCCAGGATACTCTGGCCCTGTGACCCGGACCATGGCAAGGCAACTGAGTGGCCTCATGCACGGTCTGGGGGCCCCACCTGGGCCTGACAGCACCTCTGCCCAGGCAGCTCTACAGTCTGTGGAGAAGAAGAGAAGAAGGAAACTGAGCCCCTCAGAGCAAGACAGTCACCAGGCCCCAAGGCTGGGGACCAAGCGCCAGCACCAGTCCTTCCTGCCCTGCCTGCGAAGGGGGTCCCTGCCTGAGACTCAGCCTTCACTCGGACCCACCACCCCCAAAAAGGGAAGGGTCTCCTCCCTCTGCCACTCCCCTCGCTTCTGCCCAGCCACAGTCGTCAAAAGCTGGGTGCCTCTGGGCTCTTCTGCCCTGCAGAACTGCTCCACCCCGGTGGCCCTGCCCACTCAGAACCTCAACATTACCTTTGATCCCTCCGAGGAGTCCCCCTCAAAGCTGGGTTTCCATGAATGCGCTGGCTGGGAAAATGTGCCCCAGAACAGGCTCGATCAGCCCTTCATCCCCAGTGGACCCATGCCCCTGTTCACCACAAAGGGCCCCAAGTCAGCCTCTTCCTTCCCTGAGACCTCAGCCCGCAAGAAGAGGTGCATTGTGAGTTCCTCCATCGCCCATCGCAGCCGCATCGCCCGCCTCCCTAGAAGCACCTTGAAGAGGCTAGCGGAGTCCCTCACTGCCCCAGGTGACTAGCACTGGGAACAGGGATGGTCTTGGCCACCGTGACCGATGAAAACAGGAAGTAGGAAGTGACAAGGTGGGCAGAGACCCAAGGACCTGGGAGTACTTCCAAGCATCTCAGGAATCCTGAGGAGAGATGGGAGATGGGATGGAAGAAGAGACAGTGGGACCGAGCCGTACTTGTCTCCTTCCTCCCTGCCTCCCCCACCCACTGGCCTGCAGTCCCCACGGCCCTGGCAACCTTCGGAGCCAGAGGGAACTGATGAGGGTTAGGGAAGTGCTGTCAGCCGGTGTCCTGACCGCTGTCCCCTCTTGGATCCTGGAGCAGCCTGCACCAGGAGCCCTAACCTGCCTTCCTCAGCTTAGAGCAATGAACGCCAACACCCTCTTCCTTTACTCACCCTCCTCTCCTAGTCATTCATTCTGCTACTCACGCTCTTATTCATCTCTTGTTATATTCAGCTTCTCCGCGTGTATATATACACTTGTGAGTGTTAATGTGTTGCTATTTTAAAGGTACTCCCCACCCCCCTCCCCCCCAGTTTATAACACCCTCCCTGCAGGCAGGTGGCTGGAGGTCTTTGTTCCCTGTCCCCAGTCTAACACAGGGCTCTGTCTAATGATGGCAGAGGAGGAGGGATGACGAGGAGGAGGGGGCCTGGTGCGCAGCCCCAGCTTGGCTCTTCCTGGTTTTGAGGGAGGGACAGCTTCAGCCCCATCCCCCCTGCCTGGAGCAAAAGCCACAGTCCTGGTGACAATGCAGAAGATCGGTGGTGCCTTGATTTCCAAATAAAGACAGCTTCATGGGTTTTTATCCTTATTGTAAACAGGCTACACACTCAGTGTAAAAAGAAGTGTAAAGAAGAAAGGGAGCCCTGGCCCAATGGCTCAGTTGGTTGGAATGTCGACCTATATACACCAAAAGATGGCGGGTTTGATTCCCCGTCAGGGCACATACCTAGATTGTGGGTTTGATTCCCAGTTGGGGCATGTACAAGAGGCAGCCAATTGATGTTTCACTCTTCCTTACTCTCTCTCTAAAAATGAATTTAAAAAACACCCATAATCCTTGGGTGAAGATTAACAACAACAACAAAAAAACACCATTATTTTAAAAAATAAAAAAGAAGAAAGGGTGGGGGGTTGGGAGTGGCCAGGGAGAGGTCAATGGAGGAAAAAGGAGACTCATGTAATACTTTTAACAATAAAGAATTTAAATTTTTAAAAAAATAAAAATGAAATAAAATAAAAAGAACATATACACCAATAGTGAACTTACAGAAAGAGAGACTAAAAAAACAATCCCATTTACCATTGCACCAAAAAAATTAAGCTACCTAGGAATAAACTTAACTAAAGAGGTAAAAGACCTCTACTCAGAAAACTACAGGACGTTGAAAAAAGAGATAGAGGAAGACATAAACAGATGGAAGAACATACCGTGTTCATGGATTGGTAGAATCAACATCATTAAAATGTCCATACTACCCAAAGCAATCTATAAATTCAACGCACTTCCCATTAAAATACCAACGGCATACTTCACAGATCTAGAACGAACTCTCCAAAAATTCATCTGGAATAAAAAAAGACCCCGAATAGCTGCAGCAATCCTGAGAAAGAAGAAAATAGGTGGGATCTCAATACCAGATATCAAGATGTATTACAAAGCCACTGTTCTCAAAACTGCCTGGTACTGGCACAAGAACAGGCATATAGATCAATGGAATAGAATAGAGAACCCAGAAATCGGCCCGAACCAATATGCTCAATTAATATTTGACAAAGGAGGAAAGAACATTCAATGGAGCCAAGATAGTCTCTTCAATAAGTGGTGTTGGGAAAATTGGACAGATATATGCAAGAAAATGAAACTAGACCACCAACTTACACCATACACAAAAATAAACTCAAAATGGATAAAGGACTTAAATGTACGACAGGAAACCATAAAAATTCTAGAAGAATTCAAAGGCAACAAAATCTCAGACATATGCCAAAGCAATTTCTTCACTGATACAGCTCCTAGGGCAGTTGAAACTAAAGAGAAAATGAACAAATGGGACTACATCAAAATAAAAAGTTTCTGCACAGCAAAAGAAACCATCAACAAAACAACAAG